GGAATAGGTTTACTCGCTATTCACTTAATACTAGATTCATGCTACTTGCTAGGTGTTACCATGATATGTGGGTTCATAAATTAAAGGGTTAATTCATGAATAAGAGTTAATAAGATTTAACTCAAATTACAAAGTGTTGTAAACCCACTAATAGTATTAAGGTGAACCTAAAAGGTCACACTAATTATGAACAAAGGTAAAGATTGTATTTCTAATAGTTAGAATTAATTGATAAATATCTAATTTGATTAGATATCAATTAAAGGAATATATTAATCAATAAGATTGATTAATTACATTTTGGATATTACTTTATTTTTTTTTTCCGGAACGATAGATGTATTATAACTCCAAACCAAAAGCGAACAATGTTCGAAAGTACAACGAGCCACACCCGAAAGATAAAAATGAGAGGACACGCTACAAGCGGCCTAGATCACACTTAACCGAAAATAAGAAAAAAAACTCGACTAGAACCCCTCCACTGCTCGAGAGCCTAGCGGGGCAAACAAAAGAGAAAACTAGAAACAAAGGACAAAAGACTAATATACTACAACAGTCCAACAATAAATTACAATAACATGAGCCTAGAACTGAACATTAGTTGGACAGATGAGTGAATTCCAACCATTCTTCAAGACCTGCTCTGATGATCAGGTGTGCTGGCATGGCTTGGCTTTGAAAGATCCAAAGGTTCCGGGACTTCCATAGCCACCAAAGTAAGTAGGTGGTGAGTTGTATTCTGGCTTCGGAAGTGTCAGAAGTCCCTAGTGTGCAGATGTGGTTCCACCAGTATCTAAAAGATGTAATTGATGGCAGGCCTGCCCAAGTAACAGGTGATAATTCCCATACTCGAGTTGCTGCTTTGCAGTGGAAGAGTAGATGCTCAATGGTTTCAGGGAATTCTCCACAGGCTTGACATGTGACATCAATATGAACTCCCCTTTTAAACAGATTAGTTTTGACAGGTAGTGAGTTGGTAATGCACTTCCAAATGAAGTGTTTTACTTTTCCCACTATTTTCAGATTCCAGCATTTTGAGAAAGCTTGAGAGTTGCCTGCAGAGGAGCTAGACCCAGGTATGTCCATAGTCAGCAGCTTTTGATGTGAAAGATGAGAGTAAGTGCTGTAGACTGAGAATATTCCTTTGCTGTCAAATTTCCAATATGGTCTGTCTTGCTTTCCAGGCTTTAGAGTAGTGATCTTGAGAATTGCTGCACTATCTGAGTGATTAAACAGTTGTTGAACAAGCCAAGTGTTCCAGCCATTCCCTGTTTCATTTAACAGCTCCTTAACCCAAGTAATGTGGCCTCTGGCAATTTCCAGTATGTTAGGCTTTGGATAGAGTAAAGATGGCACCCAGTTAACATCATCTAACCTTGTCAGTTCACCATTTCTAATCTCTACTGCAAAGCCTTTAGCAAAAAGAGGAAGCACTGCCAACCAATTAGACCATAGCCAGGAGCAGTTTTGTGTTTTCACAGCATCAAACAATGAGCAGTCAGGGAAATATCTATCTTTCAGAAGCTTGCTTACCAGGAGCTGAGGCTGAGTTTGGATTCTCCAGAGTTGTTTACATATCAGAGCAATGTTGAAGTTTTTGATGTCAATGAAGCCTAAGCCACCAACTTTTTTTGGAAGGGAGAGAAAGTTCCAGTTTTTCCAATGTATCCCTTTGCTCTGATCTTCCCCTTTGCTCCACCAAAATTGAGCACACAGCTTGGAAATATTTGCACATAAAGTGGTTGGGAGTTTGAAGCAAGACATGGAGAAGACAGGAAGAGATTGGATCACAGCCTTTAGCAGAACCTCTTTGCCAGCCTGAGTGAGTAGCTTTGATTTCCAGCTTTGAAGCTTTGACTTGACTGAATCCATAACAAATTGAAAAGCTTCTAGTTTTGATCTGCCTATTCCAAGTGGAAGGCCCAGATACCTTGTGGATCTATGTGAGGTGATTCCCTGTAAAGTGGTGCAAATGCTGTTTTGGAGACATTGAGGTGTGTTCCTGCTGAAAAAAGCAGCTGATTTTTGCAGGTTAACTTTTTGGCCAGTGAAAAGTCTATATCTTTCCAGGAGGTTGAGTAAGATGATGGCTTGGTCATTACTAGCTTTGGTGAAAAATAGAGAGTCATCTGCAAAAAGCAAGTGTGACACCACTGGACCATTCCTTGAGAGCCTTAAGCCAGTTAGTTCCCCTGTTTCAACAGCATGAGTAACTAGAGCAGAGAGCATTTCAGCCACTATGATAAATAGATAAGGGGATAGTGGATCCCCTTGTCTAATTCCTCTTGAAGGTATAACATAGCCACAAACAGTACCATTGACTTTAAAGGAGAAAGAGCTTGATGATATACAGATCATAATAAGCTGTACAAATTCCTTCTTGAAGCCCATTCTAAGCATGATTTTTTTTATACAGATCCACTCAACACGGTCAAATGCTTTCATCAAATCTAACTTCAAAGCCATAAAGTGATTTTTCCCTGAAGAGTGTCTGTTCAAAAAATGAAAGGCCTCTTGTCCTATGATAACATTGTCAAAGAGTTGTCTCCCTTTCAGAAAAGCAGATTGAGAGAAGCTGATACAAATGTCTAAGCAAGATTGCAGCCTCAAAGCTAAAATTTTAGATAAGATTTTGTACACAACAGTGCAAAGGCTGATTGGTCTATATTGAGAAAGAGTTTCTGGAGTTGAGCATTTTGGAATGAGGGTTAAAATGGTATGATTCCAGTACTTAAGCAATGAGCCATTCTCATGAAAAAAACTCTTGATGGCAGCAATTAGTTCAGTTTTGATCAAGTACCAAAAGTGTTGATAGAAGATGGCTGTCATACCGTCTTCTCCCGGGGATTTATCTGAGCTCAGACTGAATAGGGCTGTTCTGATTTCTTCCTCATCAACCTGCTTGAGAAGGGACTGATTTATCTCTGAGGTAATTGTGGGCTGAATGTGGTGGAGCATAGTGTCCCCTCCCCAAGATCCTTCTGATGTGAATAGGTTGGCATAGAATTCAGAGATATGATGTTGGAGTTCTTGCTGAGTGGTGAGGACTCTATTGTTGCTAGAGAGAAGCCTGGATATTGCATTTTGTCTTCTTCTGGATATGGTGTATGCATGAAAGAATTTGGTATTTCTGTCACCCTCTCTGAGCCAATGTGCTTTTGCCTTTTGTTGCCAGAAAACTTCTTCCCTCTTGTGTGCTGCTTCCAAATCTTTCCTAGTAGCATTCCAAGAATCCCAATTTTCAGTCAGTCTGTTTTCTTGCAAAGCTTCCAGCTTCTTTGAAAGGTTTTCAATGAGAGTCTGGTTTTGAGTTTTGAAGTTGGCACTCCAGATAAGCAGAGCTTGCCTAGTGTTCTTGATTTTTTCTTTCAGCTGGAAGAAAGGAGTGCCATTTGTATGTATGTACCATGCCTTCTCGACCACTTCGTGAATATCTGCTCGAGTGAGCCATCTTTTGTCAAAATGGAAATGATGTTTGGTTCTTCCCTTTTTGGTCCCTGGTCTGAGCATGAGCATTGAGTGGTCAGAACCGCTGCGGGCCACCGTGGATATAGTGGCATTTGGGAATTCTGAGAGCCAGTCTAAGGATCCAAATCCTCTGTCGAGTTTTTCCTCTACCATGCCCTTTGCAAGTCTGTTATTGCACCAAGTAAAGCCATGTCCTTCCATCTTGATTTCATCCATCTCCATTGCATTGATGAAGTCTTTAAATCCAGAGAAGCTGCGCTCAGGCCTTTTGAGACCCCCTCTTTTATCATCACTGGAAAGAATATCGTTCCAGTCCCCTATTGTGAACCACTTAGCTCCCCAACTGTGTCTCTCATTCTGAAGCTGCACCCTTTGCTCTGATCTGATTTGAGGACAAGTGTTCATATATACAAAAATACCCCAGGATTTGCTCACATGATCAGTAGAAAATTCCACCGCTATATAGAAATCAGTGCTGGTGATGTTATGAATTTGAGCATCCATGGACCACATAAGTAATAAACCTCCTCTGCTACCTGAGGGATCAACAATAAAATATCTATTATCAAAACCTAGCTTTCTAATTACAGATTTAACAAAGCCATTTTGTTTTTTTGTTTCAGATAGAAATAGGAAAACTGGTTGATGAGTCCTGATAGACTCTCTGATTTGGGAAACCGTAGAGGGCCCACCCAGCCCTCTACAGTTCCACACCACGGCTAACATTTGTCACTTGGGTGCCATTCGAGGCTGGCCACCCCCACCTTTCCAGAAGAAATCTTCAGCTTTTTGTTGTCCTCTTTACTGTCTGAGAGAGAAGGTTCTTCTTGATCTTTAATTATAACTTCTTTATCAGCTCTGGATCTTTTCCCACTACTGGGTGTAGTGGACTGTGGTGATTTAGTGTCTTGTCTCAAGAGCCTTCCCACTCTGGTTGTAGATCTTTTCCATAGCTTGGTTTGTGATTGTTGCAGGAGTTTGGGATGTTTGTGGTGGCAGGATGTATTTGCAGATAGTTCAATTTCCATTGGTTTAGGTTGTGCAGGCAAGGTTAAAGGTGGGGCTGGAGTAACAACCATTAACTCCGAAGACTGAGGTTGGTTATCATCCACAAGGCATATGGCTTTGTTATTAGTTTCTGTATTTGGTGTTTGTGAGAGCTCTGTGTCTGTTTCTGGAAGGGTTGGTGTATCTGGGATGGGGGGTTTAGGTTGGAGGGGTTGGATTTGTTGGTTGTCTTCCATCTGGCTGCTAGTTGTGAGAGGGGGAGATGATTGAGAGGGAGAAGGAGTTGGTTGTTTGTCTGTTTTAGAAGGACTTCTGGAGTCAGAGGTGTTATAGCCTGTCCAGTGGTACCCATCAATGGCGCGCATCCAATCGCCATATTGGCCTTCTTGGACTGTTTTGTTTCTGATGTCTTCCATTCTTGTTTCGCAGCTTCTGTCCAGATGCCCAATATGCCCACAATAGTGGCAGTGGTTCACCAATTTTTCGTACTTAAAACCCGCATTAACTTCTTGGCCATCTAGTCTCAAGTTAGCACAGCGAGGCAGAGCTTCATGAAGATTGATTTTAACTAAGAGTCTAAGAATTCTACCCCCATGAGAACCAGCTCCGACAACTACCACATTTTTGACTTCTTGGAACACCGATCCAATCTTGACTCCCACATCAGTGCTAAGCCAGTTTAGGGGTACATTATAGACTTGGACCCAAAGATTCAATTCCTGAAAAATCTTGTGTTTGCTATTAAGCCCCTGCGTCCATGTCGAGAGTATAAGGTATTGATTGTCAAATACCCAATTTATGCCTCTGGCTATTCTCTCCATATCATCTCTGCTCTGGAATATGAATTGGAAAAAATTGTGTCCCAACTCTTTCACCTCCATTGGCTGGTTCAGTCTCCAAATTTGGCTCATCGTGCGACGAAGACCTATCCAGCTTGCTTTTCTATCGCCGATTATTTTGCCAAAGAGGCTGCGCTGACATTCCTCATCACTAATTCTTATGTCGTTCTTGGCAATATCAATGAACGTATTTTCCTTAGCAGACAATGAGACGCCTTGAAGCTTTTGTGCCAAATCTTCATCTTGCCCTATGCAAGTCGAGGAGCCCATAGGTACCAGAGCCCTAATTCTCCAGAAAATTATCGCGATGATAGAGCAGGATTAAGTCAATACAAACAATGTCGGGGAGAACAAAATGAAAAAGAGATGATCGGAAACTGGATAACGATGGATCGCTCTCCGCCGAGAGAATAGGTTCGCTCTCCGCCGAGAGAATTTAGTAATTAAGGTAATTACTAAATTAATAAAGTTGAATTTTAAAATAGGATTTAAATTTCAAAAATCCAAAATAATAATAATATGATTATTATAATATTGGGAAAATGATATAATAATAAAGTCTTGAGAAAGATTCTCAAGATTTATTATCCAATTATTATTTATATCTTTAAATATGATTTAAGGATTAAAATAATAAATATGATTATAATAAAATGGTTGTTGATGGTTGTTTGAACTACTTAACATATCTTATTATTTTCAAAGTCAAAAGTTAGTAAATACTATTTAAATAAAATTTGATTTTATTTAAATATTACTAAATGTTGATTATTTTATGCTAAAATATTTAGTATAAATATGTGCAAAATGATTTTGCATTAAGTGAGGTTTTGATCCAAAATTTCTAAGTGTTAGAAAGAGAAGAAAGTGTTCTTCATAAAACTTCAAGAAAGAGTTCTTAAAATTCCCAAATAAAATTCATAAATATTCCTATACAAGAAAACCGAGTCTTTTCTACTAGCGAAGGAAAGTCGTCGGAACCGGGCTTCATAGGGTGGATACGTTTAGAGGGAAGACACTTGGATTCCTCTAGCGAGTAACCTCAAGTCGTTGAAGTTACAACCGGGAACCGATTCCCTCATCCATCATCAATAGTGAAGGAGTTCAAGACATTCGGTAAATATTTTTTACTAGTATTTACTTTATAGTAACAAATCAAAATTTGTATATGATGCATGTTTTAAAGATGACGATCAGTTAATTCGCAATTAGTATGTACGGGTGTTGTATTTATACGATAAATACTTACTTTAAAAAATTTTAAATTCCGCTGCGTACAGCCCGTACGGTACTATCGAACCCAACATCTAAGACCCATCTTTTCAAGATGTCCTTCGAACACTTTCTGTGATAAGGGCTTAGTTAAGGGGTCTGCTATATTTTCTGCTGAGTCGACTCGCTCCATCACGACATCGCCTCTACCAATGATTTCTCTAATCAAATGGTATCGCCTCATAATGTGTTTGGATTTTTTTTTTATGAGATCTTGGCTCCTTTGCTTGCGCAATAGCCCCATTGTTATCACAATAAATCATTATTAGATCAACAACGGATGGTACTACACCCAACCCTTGGATAAAGTTCCTTATCCAAACAGCTTCTTTTGCAGCATCAGATGCAGCAATATACTCAGCCTCTGTCGTAGAGTCAGCAATTGTTTCTTGTTTGGAACTTTTCCAACTAACTGCTGCTCCATTCAGAGTAAATAAGTATCCAGACATGGATTTATAGTCGTCTTTATCGGACTGAAAACCAGAAAGCCTTCTAGTTTCAGTTCTCCATTGTCGTATACCATAAAGATATCCTTAGTCCTTCGTAAATACTTAAGAATCATCTTAACGGCTTTCCAGTGTTCTTCACCTGGATTAGACTGATATCTGCTCGTTACACTAAGTGCATAAGCCACATCAGGTCTTGTACATAACATTGCATACATAATGCTACCAATAGCTGATGCATAAGGTATATGACTCATCCGTTCTCTTTCTTCAGGTGTCTTTGGAGACATCGTCTTAGAAAGAGAAATCCCATGACTCATTGGAATATATCCTCGTTTGGATTCTTCCATGCTAAACCGTTGTAGCACCTTATTTATGTACATTGACTGGGATAGTCCGATCATCCGTTTAAATCTATCTCTATAGATTTTTATCTCTAGGATAAAGGATGCTTCTCCCAAGTCTTTCATGGAAAACTGTTTTGACAACCATGTCCTAGTTGATTGCAACATCCCTACATCATTCCCAATGAGTAGGATGTCATCAACATATAGAACAACAAATGTAACTGCACTCCCACTAACCTTCTTATAAACACATGGTACATCCGGATTCTTATGAAAATCAAACGTTTTGATCGTTTCATCAAACCGAATATTCCAACTCCTCGAAGCTTGTTTAAGTCCATAAATAGACCTTTGAAGTTTACAAACCATTTTTTCACTCCCATTGGATATGAAACCTTGCGGTTGTTTCATATAAATGTCTTCCTTAATATTTCCATTAAGAAAAGCAGTTTTCACATCCATTTGCCATATCTCGTAGTCATAATACGCAGCTATGGCTAGCAATATCCGAATAGATTTAAGCATTGCTACTGGTGAAAAAGTTTCCTCATAATCAACACCTTGTTTTTGAGTATAACCTTTAGCAACCAGTCTTGCTTTAAAAGTATTTACTTCTCCATCTACACCACGTTTTCGCTTGTAAACCCATTTACAACCTATGGGTACAATACCCTGTGGTGGATCAACCAAAGTCCATACTTTGTTTGAATACATGGAATCTATTTCGGATTGCATAGCTTCTTGCCATTTATCTGAGTCAATGTCCAACATTGCCTCATCATAGCTTATTGGATCATTATCCAAAAGGAATCCCTCTTCATTGTCTTTTGACAATAGGTATAGCCTTTCAGGCGCCCTAGAAACCCTTTCGGATCTCCGAAGAGGTTGTGTTTTAGATGGTCCAGTCTCTACTGGTATGTTTTCCGTGGTACTTAGTGGAATTTGTGGTTGTTCTTCATTAAGTTCTATGACTCCGCTATTCTTTGAGATAAAATCTTTCTCTAAGAATACAGCATTCCTCGAAACAAACACCTTTTGTTCAGAGGGATCATAGAAATAGTATCCAATAGACTCTCTAGGATACCCCACAAATTTACATAAGATGGATCTCATATCCAACTTACCTCCCACTAACTGCTTTACATAAGCAGTACAACCCCATACTCGTAAATATTTGTATGAGGGTGATTTACCACACCATATCTCATAAGGTGTGCTGGGTACAGCTTTACTTGGCACTCTATTCAAAATATATGCTGCTGTTTCTAAGGCATAGCCCCAGAATGAAAGAGGTAGATCAGTGGTACTCATCATCGATCGAACCATGTCCAACAATGTTCGATTCCTCCTTTCTGAAACCCCATTGAGTTGTGGAGTTCCAGGAGGCGTCCACTGTGAGACAATCCCATTATCTTTTAAATAATCAAGAAACTCATTAGTCAAATATTCACCTCCTCGATCTGATCGAAGAACTTTAATATTTCTACCAATTTGTTTCTCCACTTCATTTCTGAATTCTTTGAACTTTTCAAATACTTCAGATTTGTACCTCAATAGGTAAACATAACCATACCGTGAATAATCATCAGTGAAGGTTATGAAATAGTGATAGTTCCCCATTGCACTAACGTTTAGTGGTCCACAAACATCTGTATGGATCAAATCCAACAAACCTTTAGCTCGCTCCACTTGTCCAACAAATGGTGATTTAGTCATTTTACCTTTAAGACATGACTCACATGTAGGCAACCTATCCTCTCCCCTAAGGTCGAGTTTAGGTCCCAATTTGTGAATCCGTTTTTCGGATATATGACCTAATCTAGCATGCCAAATTGTGAATGAACTATGATTATCTAATTTCCTTTTATTTTGTTGAATGGTTAGGATGGGACTTTGTGGTGTAATGGTATACAACCCATTTGTCAAATTTCCAGAATAAATAAAAGTTGTGTCTTTGAAAATAGAACATTTTCCATTTTCAATGACAAACTTAAAACCTTCCTTATCCAATATTGGAATAGAAATAATGTTTTTTATTAAATCCGGAACATACAAACAGTTTGATAGACAAATCTTTACATCATTATTCAATGCTAGATAAACAGTCCCAATAGCTTTAGCAGCAACTCTTGCCCCATTGCCCATCCTTAGGATTGTTTCTTCACCATCTAGCATATTACTTCTTGCCATCATCTGCAAATCATTGCAAATATGTGAGCCACAGCCGGTATCCAATACCCAAGAAGAATCGTTAACAGACAAGTTAACTTCAACAAAATAAATACCTGAACTTTTCAGACTAGCAAGATACTCCTTGCAGTTCCTCTTCCAG